AAAAGTAGCCAACCAAAACTACATTCCAAGAAGAACCAAGCTATAGAGAGGCAATATAGCCCGATGGGTAAGTATATAAGCCCTGGAGCCAGACTCGGTGTGATTAAATCCTAAATGTACTACTTATTTATTATATTTCTTAGTTGTATGATCTTGGAAAAGCTACTTACTTAACCATTAATTTTCTTCATCTATAAAAAGGGGAAAATAACAATACCGACCTGTAAAGTTTTTGCGAGGATTAAAGGAGTTAACACAATCCATTAAACCAACTAACTCAATTTTGGCTACTAATATTTTCACTGAATTATCAAGGAGATTTTGAATATTAGTCATGGATTCTAAAGTCCAGAAGTACTTGTTTATTCAAAATATAGCTTGAAGTCACAAGAAAATGCAGGATTAAAGTATAGAAGAGAGAAGTTACACTCCCAGAATTACACACAGCCTTGAAGCAAAGATGGTTAGGACAGGAAGAAGCCAGAGCTCACAGGATGAAACTGAGAGGATTAGAGTTGGTAGAGGATTTAGTCAGATCTGGATTTACATTCAAAGAAAACTAAAAGGATTACTGTGGTAATAGGAAGCATAGCACTTATTTGACCCTGGTAAAAGGTATTGTTCTAGCTGATCTTAAAAAAATCTACTGGAAGGGGAGGAGGAGACACTCTGACAGCAGCACTCCTAACAGTGTTCTTGCTGATTAGTCATTTAATTGATGTTTATTTATTCAAGATAGGGTCTCACTAAATTGCTCAGGCTGGCCTCAAATTCATAATCCTCCTAGCTAGAGCTTTCCAGGTAGCTGGGATTATAGCCACATTCCTCCACACCCGGCTTCTGAAGGCTCTTTCTGACTCATGCCTCTAGTTTGTGCTACAAAATTGACGATATAAACCTGAAGCAGATTTCTCACATCTGAACCAAAGCTTGAAAACATGATGGAAGGGCTGTGAAAATGGGAATTAACTTCGCTCCTGAATTTGCCTTCAACTGGGGAGAAAAAAGGATGGAATACAACAAATAATTTCACAATAATTACTAAGTCATCAATAGGGAGGAAAAAGGAATGGAATACAACAAAAAAAGGATGGAAAGTTTGGAAAATAGAGGCTGTCATAAAAGACAAAGGAAGTGGAAGCCACATGTGGCTTTACACTCCCCAAATCCCAGCATTCAGGAGAATGAGGCAGGAGGATTACTCGGCTATATAGAAAGACCCTGTCTCAAAAAGAAAAAGAAAACAATATAAAAGAAGTTAGAATTATTTAGTTTGAAAAAACACATAGGAAAAAATAATTAAGAGTTTAAAACCCTAATTTTAATGAAAGATAAAGGTGTTTCTATTATTACTGAAAGCAAAGCAAAGAGAAATGGGCAAAATTCCTGGAGTTATGCTATGAAATACAAAAATATCTCTTACTGAGAAATGTTAGGCATTTACACAGAGCAGCAAGGAGGATTCTGACTGGGGGACTCAGGAAGGTGCATAGCTGCTCTGGGAGGACAACGTACGGTGACAGAAGCAGCTGTGGCCATCGGAGGAGGCAGCCTGAGGCCCAGAGAACACGATGTGTGCACAGCCTATACAGAAGCTTGAGACAGGAAGCAGTAACAACAGCAGTGAAACTCGAGGAGTTGGGTACAGAAGCTTCTTGATAATCCATGAATATCAGTTACCAGCTTCAAATAAGAACTGGAAAGGATACAGACAACCATAAAATTCCTGTCCAATTTGGTTATAGACACGAAACCATATAGAGAAGAACCAATGTATTAAGTAATACTTAGGGTAAATTCAGCAAATCTGCATCAAGTCTTGAAAAGCGACTGTGAGTTTGAACTCTAATAAGGAAAAAATGGTATTAAACATTTTCCAAATATAATTTTTGCTTTGTTTTTTTTGAGACAAGTTCTTGTGATGTTGCCCAGGCTGGTCTTGAACTCCTGGACTCAATTGATCTTCCTGCCTCAGCCTCCTGAGTAGCTGGAAGTCTAGCAGCTTCAGATGAAACTTGTCTGGTATTGTTTTGAGACTGGACCTTACAGTGCAGCCCAGGCTGGACCTGGTTCATGATCCTCCTGCTTCAGCTTCCCAGGTGCCAGGAGGACAGTCTGTGTCACCATGCCCAGATACAATTTATAAAAGCAGACACCAAAAGAGTCAACAGTGTCATTTTAAGAGCCACTGTGTATTTTTATAATTCAAAAAGCTATAGAGTTGAGGTATAGCTTAGTGGTAGAGCACTTGCCTAGTATGCACAAGGCCCTGGCTTCAATCCACAGCACTGCAAAAAAAATTACAAAAATGCTTATAATGTGCAATCAGAACATTTTCAGGACAAATGGAAAAAGTTACAGAAGTGGGAAAGGAAAAGAAACTAAAACTGACCAAGTGGATATTATATACTAAACATTATTAGGCCATTTAAAAATCCTGTCCACATTGGTATGATATCTGGCACTTGCTTGAAAATAATCCAAAGAGAAGTCAGGAAAAGGGGTCTGGATAAAATGAGATTTAATTTAAACTAATAACTATTAAAGTTTAGTGATGAGAGCATGAATGGTCATTTTATTATTGTTTATCTTTCTATAAAATTTTCCATTATTTGAAAATCATTTAATCTATATAATGTGAGAATAAGTGGGATGTGTTTGTACATTTGTGAATGAATATGTGTTTAATCTCTACAGAATAGAAATGACTTCAACGTAACTCTGTAAATGAGACAGATATAGGCCCATCAATTATAAAAACCCTGAACAAAAGAGTAAACGTGCCGTGTGTGCTGCTTCACACCTATAATCCCAGCTACTCTGGAGGCAGAAGCAAGAGGATTGTGAGTTCAAACTGGATCAGGCAAAGTTAGCAAGACCCTACCTTAAAAATAAAATAAAAATATTCAAATGGTAGGGCACTTGCCTAGCAAATGCAAGGCTCTGGGTTCCATTCCTGAAAAAAAAAGAAAAAGAAAGAAAAGAAAAAAAAGAGGAAATGCATACGACAAGTTGGAAACATGAAAAGGAGGTGCAGATTCAGAAGAGCAGGAAAAATATAAGCACAAAGAAATGTTAACAGGACAGAAGAATGTGGAGAGAAGGTAGCAAGCACAAGGCAAGAAAAACTATGCTCAAGCAAAGGGAAAGGAAAGGTATTTCTTGAGTGGTTACTGTGTTCTAAGACCTGTTGTCAGGCATTTTACATCATCTCATGATCCCCACAGCAATTTGTAATCTGGATGTTATTATACTTAATGTACACAAGAGGAAATGAGAACTCACAAAGGTCAGATAATATACAAATGATCAGAAGATGCCAAATGATTCAAAGCCTCTTTTCCCTGATGCCCACGTTTGTCTTGCATTGCACAGTAGTGCAATTTCCCAAGCAACCATGCTAAATGTGCATCAAAATCTTTGCTTGAAGAGGCTGGGGAAAATGGAAGGAATACATACTCCAAGAAGGAAGAAAGAGAGAGACAGAGAGAAAGAAATAGAAACAGAGAGACAAAGGCAGAGAAAGAGAGAGAGAGAAAAAAATTGATTTAACTTTGTGATGTCAGTATATCCAGGTTGGTAGAGAAGTTTAAAGAGGGTATGTAGGGGAAATACATTTAACTAAAGTGGAGATTGGAGTAGAACTAGCCAGGCAAAGCTGGAAAAATGTTTCAGAATAGAATTAGCAAGAATAGACCCATGGAGGTAAGAGGAGAATGAAAGAGTTGAACTTCAGGCTGATCAATATTCAATCAGTGATTTAATAAATAATTACCAAGGGCCTGCTTCTTACGAACAGCCACGCACACAGCAGTAATCAAAACTGAATAGTCCCCACTTTCATGGAGCATATACTTTAGTGAGGGAGACAGACATTATAAGAATGACACAAAATGTGATTGCAAACTGAGAAAAGATTTGTGAAGGAAAGGTACAGAGTGCCTGCCTAAGAGAGGACCTTCCTAGGGGTTGGTGGTGTGATCAGGAATGCTTCCCAGGGAAAGTGACACTGACATTGCTTTGAAAGGTATCTTGTCCCCGGCCCCTTCCTGTCTTTCTCTGCTTCCTGGCTGCCATGAGGTGAGCAGTTTTCCTCCACTGTGCCTTTCCACATGATGTTTCTACATTGCCTAAGAACAATGCAACCAGCTGACCATGGAATGAACCTTTGAAACTGTGAGCCAAAATAAATCCTTCCTCTCTTTAAAGTTTTCACAGGTATTTTGTCACAGCGACAAAAAGTGACTAATACAGTATGGGTTAGTATTGCTGTACTTGGACTTTGCAAATCATCTGTGGAATTGGGAGGCTCCCCTCCTAGTAATGTCCCAGTAGAGTCTGGGTAATCTGCATTTTTAACAAGGGGGAGTGTTTCAGGTGTCCTCAGATCATGTCTAAGGAAACAATGGGTTAAGAGGCTGGCTAAAAACAATGGACAAATTAACTCATAGAGAAAATTTCTTCAGGCTGGGTATGGTGGTACAGAGCTATAATCCCAGCTACAATGGAGGCAGAGGTAGGAGGATCGAAGTCTGAGGCTAGCCCTGGGCAAAAAGTGCAAGAACCTATCTGAACAATAAACTAAAGCAAAAAGGGCTGGAGGCGTGGCTTAAGTGGTAGAATACTTGAGCCTAGCAAGTGCAAGGCCCTGAGTTCAAACCCCAGTACTGCCAAAGAAGAGAAAATAAAAAGAGAGAGAGAGAAAGAAAGAGAGGGAAGGAAGGAAGGAAAGAAAGAAAGAAAAGGAAAAGCAAACCTCAGATCTCTCTATTCCCATCATTCCAACTTACACAGTGGGTCTAGATGTAAAGATATTTTTGTTTTGTTTTATTTTTTGGGTTTGTGTGTGTGTGTGTTTTGTTTTAGTATTTCAGGAAAATAAAAATCAGCTTAGAGAGACAAGTAAGAAAAGAGTGGCAAAGACAGGTCACACCAATAGTTTAAAAATATAGTATTAACTACACTGGACAACACCAGACACAAACTACTTGTCACCTTACCTTTAGCAGAAGAGGAAAATTACTCTGCAGAGAATCAGTCACACCATTTTCATACAATTTCTTCCTCATGTGGTTTTCACTCACATTTCCTGCACCCGACTGATACCTTAGTAAGGACTTTAGCATAGTTTCAAAAGGGTCCGCTGAAACAGATTAAATATTTCTAAATCAAAAATAATTGACCAAAAGAAAATAATGTCCATCAAGAAATCAAAACAGTCAGGTAGGTAAAGAATGATAGCTAGGAGCACAGCAGTTCTTTTCACAGCTCCAATATTTTCTAAATATAAACAGTTGAAGAGTGAATGAAAGTTAGCAAGAATGTAATATCCTGACTCAGAATTCCATTATAAGTCATGAATACTTGCATAAATTTTCTACCTACATGACTATATCTTTGAATTAAAAAAAAAAATAGCCAGTGGGCTAGCAGTGTGGCAGTCAGTGAGACTCCATCTCAATGAAAAAGCTGGGCATGGTGATGTTCACCTGTCATCCCAGCTATGCAGGAAACTTAAGTAGAAGGATCGCTATCCAGGCTGGCCTTGGGAAAAAACCAGAGATCCTCCCTGAAGAATGACTAAAGCAAAAAAAAAAAGGCAGGTGGTGTGTGACTCAAGCAGTTAGAGCACCTGCCCAGCAAGTGCAAGGTCCTGAGTTCAAACCTTAGTACCACCAAATAAAAGCCCATTGCACTAATTTTAAGACAAAATGGATAAGTCTAAATGTAGATGTCAAGTATTCAAGTATTCTAGTTAAAATCAACTAAGTTCAATATTTTTTCTTTTCTCCTTTTTCTTAAAGTATTTCTTTAATGTCTATATTGTTCATACACACACATTGAGACAAGACACTAAAAACAATTCAAACAACATAGCAAACTACAAAGAAAGCAACAATTCCTCCTAAATCTCACCAGAGATATTCACTGTTAACATTAGAGATTTTTTTTATCATTGTCATTTCTTAAGAGACAGAAAAATCTGCCATATTTCACCAATGTCTGCATTTCCTTCTTTTAGAGCACTTGTCTTCGTCCATTGCTGTAGTCATTTGAGTGATGTTTATGTGAGTCCCTCCCCTCACTACTTGGGCTTACACTGGAATGTCCAGAGGAAGAGAGACTATCTGGTGTTACTTGCTTTACACGCTGACAGAGCCCTCTTTTCACAGTGTGCAGAGTTCAGTAATTAAAATCAGCATAATCCTGAGGCAGACTGGTTCCCAGTCCCAGCTCCACTACCAAATAGTTGTGGGATCTTGGGCAAAATGACTTAACCTCTCTGCACCTCCACTTTCTCTTCTGTGACACAGAGATGTGTAGAACCTACTTCACAGTTTTCATGAGGGTTAGATGAGTTAATATTTGTAAAGAGCTTAGACTGGTGCTGGCATATAATAATTGTTATGGTAAGTATTTGATAAACAAGATAAAGCCATATCATCCTAGTAAGGGCTGAAAGTATTTATCCAATCATTAATATTTAAGTTGTCTCAATTTTTTATTATACATGTTAATAAGAATTTTTTCCCATTTATGTGATTATCAACTTATAAATTCCCTAAAATGTTATTACACCATCAACCTTCACTTCAAAAAACTTTATAGAACTTTTACATTCCACCTCCCCAGTCCTTCATCAATGATGAATTTTTGACTATTTTTTATCTCTTCTAACCAGGAAAAAAAAAAATCTCAGTTTTATTCACATCCAATGGATTATTAGTGAGGTTGAAATCTTTTTACTTGTTTACTGCCATTTACATTTCCTCTTTCTTAATTATCTTGTTTTTGCCCATTTTTCTACAAGAACATTTTATTTTTATTTTCTTATTAGTTTTTATTTTGAAGTACAAGATTTGTACTTCCTCATTTGTACCTTTGAATTCATAGCACTTCAAATACATATATCTAATATAGTTACTTATAGATATATATATATTGCATATATAATATGGGTGGTATATAGTTTTCTCAATTCTTTTAAACTTTTTCATGGTACCTTTTTATTTAACTGAAAAAAAAAAAATGGGAGCTGGGTGCTGGTGCCTCACGCCTGTAATCCTCGCTACTCAGGAGGCAGAGATCAGGAGGGTTGAGGTTCAAAGCCAGCCTGGGCAAATAGTTCAAGAGACCCTATCTTACAAAAACACATCACAAAAAAGGGCTGGTGGAGTGGCTCAAGGTGTAGGCCCTGAGTTCAAACCCCAGTACTGCATTAAAAAAAAAAGAAAGAAAGAAAATGGGACTGGTGGAGCAGTTCAAGTGCCTAGCAAGCAGGAGGCCTAAGATCAAACCCCAGTACCACAAAATAAATAAATAAATAAATAAATAAAATGATCAGTTACCACACAGTATATATAGTAATATGTGGTCAGCATTTTCCCATCTCTCTTTCATCCTTTTTCAAGGTTTTTATTATTTTTTTTATTGTGCTGAAAACCCAAAAGTTTTTATAATTCCTCATTTTTCCTTTTTGGTGGTACTGGGGTCTCATGCTTGCTAGGCAGGCACTCTAACACTTTTAGCCACTCCCCAACTAAAAAAATTTCTTTTGTAAGGATGCTAGGCAAGTGTTCTAACAATGAGCTGAATTTCTAATCCTGAAAGTTTTTATTTTTCCATTAGACAAGTCTACCTACCTTGGGCTTTCTGGCTCTTAGATCTTGTGTCATTAGAAGAAAGGATTTATTTCCATTTGCCCTTGCCAAAAGCAAGGTTTGATTTTTTTTTCTCCTTTTATTTTATCTCTTTTACATTTACTTACATGTGTACACATTGTTTGTGCCACCTCCCCTTCAACCTCTCCTACTCCCCCCTCTGTTCTGCCCTCTTCTCCAATTTCCAATATATATATATTTAACCATTCTTTAATCATTTGGCATTTATTTTGATATTTAAAGGCAGGGATTAAGATTTATTTTTTCCAAGCCTAATCAGTTTTCCTAAAAATATTTATTACCTTTATGCTGTTATAAAAATACTACCTTTATCATATGTACTTGGTTTAGCTTCTTAACTATTTACTCCTTCTACTCCATTAATCTGTCCAATCCTATTATGGTGCAAAATTCTTTAAATTTATCTATTTTTATAATATTCTGTACTATCTGGTGGTAAACATATTTCTCTGATTAATATTCTTTTTTTTTTCCTTTCTCTTTTATTATTCATATGTGCATACAAGGCTTGGTTCATTTCTCCCCCCTGCCCCCACCCCCTCCCTTACCACCCACTCCGCCCCCTCCCT